ATAATCATAACCAGAACCCATAGACACGAATTAAATCATTGTTCTATAAACAGGACAATAATTAAGAAGTAATCTAGTTTAGATGATATCAATATGTGATTTTAAAATAGAGAGAATAACAAGAAAATAAGATATCGGATATGTAAATATTCATTATTTACTTTTACTCAAAATTAAAATAATTATATTTAAATCATTAGAATAGTTTAATATAAGAGACTTTACAAAACGTATTAATTCAAAGAGAAAAATTATTATTGTACTTGTCTGCTTCATGTACAACTAGGTTGTACTTGTATCTTATCTTATCTTGTCTTGTGTCAAAATATAAAATCGCAACTGCATGTGGAAAGAACATGCACTTGATATAGACAAGAAAACTTATATTTACAAGAAGAACCATATATAATCAACCAGTTGCTGGTTCCTTGATATACATACAAATACTTATAATGCAATGTATTTTTTGTAAATTTTGTTAAAATTATATATAAGAAAAATGTGGTACAAATAATATATTTCATAGAATATATTGCTATCAAATTATTTTGATAATTTCCAAGGATTGCTGTATCTCAAAAATTATCCAGTAGATATTAGCTTGTGTTTAAGTCTTCTTTTTTCTTTGCAGTAAGTTCGAAAATCATGTCTCTCATGCGGCTTAAATCCGTCAATTCTGTTCTTAATTTTTTTAGACTTTCCTCTCGTTCTGCAATAGTCTGTTCATATGTATGTACTAATTGTGATAGCTGTTGTGTTTCTTGTTTAAGAGCAGAAATATCTTTCTGATTGGATTGTATCTCCGCATGTTTCAATTCTATCATCTGTTGAAAATTAAACAATAATAAAACTATTGTAATAATATTTTTCACTTCTATATACATACCTGTTCCTTCTTGTTCAGTTGATCTTGCATTTTATGAAGAACTTTACTCAGCTCGTGATTTTTATTGACCATTTCTGTAGTTCGTGTATTCGCATTTGCGCATTCTGCTTCCAATTCCTTTATTTTTTTTGTTAATGCTTCCATCCGATTAATACTACTATCCAATTCATGTTTATACTGTGATATTAATACATTTTGGTGTTCAATCTTCGTAGACTTCTCACCGACTATCTTTTTCAATCCTTCAATTTCCTATAAATGTATTTATGCCTTATATTTTTAAGCAAATTTTGTACTTTTACAACTATACATTTGCTACAAAGTGTATGAACCTGTTTCTTAATAGCCATTGCTTTTTTACTTTGTTCCTCGGCTTCAGCAAGTTTTACAGTTAACGTAGACTTCACACCTTCCAAACATTGTTGCGTGTCAAATAGCATTTGATGTAAACGACTTGATTCAGCCACTACTTGTGCAAGTCTATGTTGCAAACTGATTCCATGATTATTTGCTGCTTCCAAACTGGATTGCATCGCACGTTCTGCATGTCTCATTGCTGCTAACTTCAAAAAAGAGAAATAAATATAAAATGCACCTTGTTTTTAAAGAATTAAAGTCATATAGAATGTGGTACCTTATATTCATACAGTTCCATAACTGCTGATGTAGTGATGTCACTCATTTGATTTGTTAATTTTGCTAAGAAAGTATCAAGGCGTTCTTCTTGTGCAAAAGAAAAAAGCGGAGCCATTTCGCTATTTGGATTTACGGACATTTTACTTCCAATGCTTGCTACCACACCAGAAGTACTTTGTACCAATATCAGAGGTTCTAATTGTTTCATACAGAACGCTACCGTGGAAACACTTATCACAGAAAAACATGAAATGCAATTTACGTGTAATAATAAATGTGTCTAAAAATTATTATCAGTAATAACTAAAATAATTTATTGTAAAAATCATGTGATTTTAAGGACAACGTCAAAGCACTATAGAAGCAAATGTCAATTATCACGATTTAAAAATCTAGAATAAAAATGAACGCTGTGACCTATTTTCATTAATAATGAGAATATAGCAATAGCCCGTTTAAACTATAATTCTTTCAGAGGTCTTTATATAAAAGTATGAAATCTACCATTCCTGAGGAAATCCTACGGTAGATGTCAGCTGTAAAACTTTCTGCTTGACATCGGTATCGCCAATAAATAACGCATGTGCCATTGTCATTTGAATTTGTCTCTTTCGAAGTAATTCAGAATATAATGTTAACCAATTGGAATTATGAGCTGCCAAATCAGCTATTAAAGCTAATGCATGAATACATAGATTTGTATTAGGATTCTGGAAACATTGTAACTTAAATTAATAATCGTTTAAAACTAGTAGCATTACATAGGAAAGGAAAGACAATACCTGAATATATTTTCCAGGAAAATCATCAGCTGTACATGATTCAGAATCCAACAACGGACTCAATAATTTGTATATCGTTTGTTCACTCAAGGACTGCATAACTTTAGTTCTAAGTGTAGGAGTTTTAACCATTTCTTGAAATAATTGCATTAACTCTGCCAGTCTTGTTTCTGTTTCTAAACTCAATTCCTGCACTCCTTGAATTCCACTCTTTTCTGAATTTATGATTAGCATCAATACAGAAGCATCTAGTTCTGCTAATACTTCGGACGACGTCTTTGTACGACGTGCTTCGATTACAGTGACTCTTATTAAGGTCAATGCTTTAGAACACACCTAGTTTAATAAATTTTATCTATTAATATTAACATATTGATAAGAGATATATGAAAACCAGAAAATATTAGATCATGAATTATTTTCGGGGTCGGATTGAATATTCCCTAAATTTCAAGAACCCGAGTTCACTACGAAATGAGCTTCGTTTCCCTATGGTCGGCGATATAGATTTTTTAGCAAGAATAGGATTATCAGGAGATATTGTAGAGCAACTATCTTTTCCAATGGCAATATAGAGTAAAATATCATGTTATTTATTTAATACATAATATAATCCTAAAAAGTTCCTAATATTTGTGCCCGAGATATCTTTGAGAACAATCTCGATCCAATCTAAGTATCCCGAAATTTTCGGGGTTTTCGCACACCTTTATCGATGCATGAAAAAAATTATATTTTCAAGTTACCACGAACCTGTTCTACAGGAACCCATGTCATAGCAGTCTTTACACATAAAGGATATAAAGGTATTAAGGCAGACAATTTTAACTTCACTAACGATGCTAGAAATTCCATCATAAGGGCAACACATTCTGGATCTGCATTGTCTTCTAATATAGACAACACATTTTCTACGTCCTTTCCATAACTAATTAAAAAGAAAAAATGATTTAGCATCGTAACCAAAATGTTTAAATATGTATCATTCGATACATATACTTACTGTACATATGTAAGTAGTATAGAATGAGAATGTTCATTTTGCCCAACATCATTGAAAAAGTCTGTGACATGTCTGAGGAGAAGAACATCCCTCTGTTTCATTGCAGTAATAAGACTGCTAAATGTAACAGCAGCAAAATCTAAAATGTATTTTTCTGAGATGTTCATATTTGTATGCTCTAATATAATTAAAAGTTTGCAACACTGTACATTGATGTTAACACTACAGTGTTGCAGTTTCAGCAATGTCCTCATAAATGCTTTTGTATCGATTGTTCTCATTAAAGTATATACTGCTGGTAGATTTTTGTAACAAAGGTTCACTAATACCCCAAGCGAAAGAGCAATAATGTCTTCTTCTTTGGACTGTGTTGCCCACTGAGTTAATATGGATATTAGATAAGGTAAATGAGCTTCTTGCCAAGAAATTTTGATCCCATACGTCAATTCTTGAAGTAATTTTAATACCCTTATTCTTTTTTCAGTTGTTAAATTAGCCTAAAAGATTTTTAAATGAAAATGTATATATCGAAATATATAATTTTTTTCCTTTACTGTACGAGTAAGTGTTTCATACTTCCAATAATCTTGCCAATATGGGTGCAAATTTATAGGTGTGTATAAGAGCTTGTTTAGCAGCTGCATTGCGACAAGCATTTTGTAAAACATCGACTGCGCTCCAGATCAAGGTAGTCCTAGATGCCAAAGAATTCATAAGCTCGTGTAGACTGACATAAAACTCTGCAGCTACGCTGGTTCCAGGGTCGAATATGCTCAAATCCAATGAAACGCTTATTACCTTTTGAACACAAATTTTTTATTGTAAAAACTGATTCACACATTTTGTTTCTAAAATATTATTACTTTATTATATTTCATACTATTACTTTTTCTTGGACGTTTTCATGTTAATAGTTTAGCAAATATTATATTATATTAAATAAATAGAAATAAATTGTAACTTACACCAAGATTTCGTTGTAAAACTGAGGCAATTGTTTCACTCGGATGTTTGATATATTCGACAACCGCAGATATAAATGTTCTCATAGGCTGATATTTTTCCATTTTATTCGACTTGTATCTCCCGAATAATTAAAGTAGTTAAAATACCGCCTTTTTATATAAATGTGGTTAACATTAAAACTGATCCAGCAGATCCTTTTCATAAAGTGGAATTCCTGTAATTGATGTTTATCATTCATTCGATAAAACATTTATAAAAGAAATAACAATACATTCGTGTAATACATATATGTAATATAAAATATTCTCACAGGTGCATCCTGATAATTGGACACGTGTATTTTTGTTATGTATAAATGCCTCACAAGATTGATAATGAGAAATATCGTCTCGCGCAAAACTGGTATTTGATAACCATCTCTAAAATTGAATTTTAAAAGATAGATGTAAGGATGGCAAAACACACGCACGAAATTCCTATATAATGTGTATATTTTAACTAAATTTGCAAAAAAAGTAAAATTTTAGTTTATTCGCATTAATTATTATTGTAACAAATGTAGCTTTAAGGAGATGATTAGATACATTATTAGAAATTATAATTGTGACCTAAGTTGTCAACTGGGAATTCTTAATACGTAATCTTGCTTTGTAGCGTCGTGTTTTTATATTAATCACTTCACAGTACATCCAATAATATTTCTCTGTGTCCCTCGACCAAAAACGTCATCGAGTCGTCAACCAGTAGAAAATAATGTCTATTACTCGATGGCGTCCATCGTGTCCCGCAATTCCATGTGACGCTATAGAAAATCTGCAATTCTTGTTGTTGCCAAAATAAAGTTCCTAGTACATACATACATATGTGCTTTTAAATGTGGACCAGAGCCGTGTAGTAACTCGATTACATTTTTATCCATTATCTCGATACTATTACCCTCTTGCAATAAGAGTTACTACTAATTGGGTAATGCGCGAAAATAAAAATTTTTTACAGTGCGTCCTTAAGAATGAAAATATTATTTTTATCGTGCCACATAGATGTGTATATATATTTATAATCAATTTCTAAAGAAGCGTGATCTACAACATTCGAAAGCCACAATTTGTAATTTTAAGTGTATAATTAAATGTATAAAATAAAAATATGAAATTATACAGAGTAGAATTCCATATGTAGGAAAGAATTGAAGGAGATCAGGGCAGCCTTCGTTTTCAAATTATCGATGATTAAAGATCTCCTCGATCTTCCAATAGTAACACATGGAAGTCAGATCGTAGTCACAATGTACATATGTCTGTATTGTATGTACATATATAGGTATTATGCAAGTTACGTACGATATACATATACGCATTCATAAAAATATAAATTTTATGTAATGCAAGGATCTTAGTGTGTGCACCTATGTATGTATCCGCAGACACTTGTACATTGAAAATTGGTTTTTGAAAAAATGTAAAAATCTCTCTAGCATGCATACATGTATAATATGTATTATGTGTGTGTAGTAGACACTATATACATGCGTGCATGCGCAATGTTACTGTTATCGGTCGAGAGAGGCGCTGTTCTCTGATCGCTTTCATCGAAATGCGCCATTTCTGACTCGAGGAAAAAGAAAACGACATTGAAGGAAGGTATCCTCGAAAGATCTTCTTTGGTCGAAGTCACTTCGTCGTTTCATCAAGATATCTCGAACGATTGCTGGTAATTGACTAATTCGTCGATCATCGGAGAAGATTTGCGTGTGCGCGATCTACGGGTACACCGTTGTAAACGAAAGTGTCACAGCACTGTGTGTTCCGTGTACGTGATTTGAGCCTCAGCTTGGTTCCATTTATGTAGTGCGAACAAATTCGTCAATTTGAAACATAAATCGCATCGAATTCAAGGAAATACTATTATTATACGTTCGTTCGAGAAAGTGCTGCATGGAACATCTGTGGTTCTGGGAAAAGTGCTAAAATCTCTTCCTCGAACAGAAAAGGGGAGTGTGAAAAAAACCAACGATCTTCGCAGAGTCGTGTGTCTGGTGTGTGTACCAACCGGAGCTGTCATAAATGTACACATTCTATATAGATTGCACAATCTATGCTCTGTTAGTGGGCCGATTTACTGGAGACAAGTGATCGTGTCTGACGCGCGGCAGTGAATTGACATTAATCATCGTCGCGCGGTGTTGTGCACCCATCGACCTAAACGTCTAAAGAGCTAGTGCCGCATTTCTATCCAACGGCGAACTTCCTCACCCAGCAGGTTAAGCATCGAAAATTCGACTTTTCCATCTTGTTAGGTGTCCCAATTCATGCTACCAGAGAACTACATTTTTCATGTTTTTCTTTTTTTTTTTCTATGAATTTTCGTGCGTGAGAGGATCGGTTGTTTATGGACAGTGTCATTTACGATAGAGACGCAGAATGTCATCTACGATAGAGGTGCTCGATAGATGTGTCTATATTGTTCGCCTTTTGGCGTGTACACTATCATACGGATGTTGATAAGATCCTGGGCACCCTCCAACACGCGATTTCTTTAATCTGTGTTCCATTCTTCTACCGTCTTTTTTTGTCAAGTATCAAAACTTTTTAATTTCCCAAGAGATTCGATATTTCAGATCGTGCTGACGTTTCACGGGCGGTGACAAGTACTCAGAGCCGTAACTATCGTGGCGCATCATTTACTCCCTTTATTCGTCTCTCTTCGTTTCTCTCTTGTAATCTCTCGAGTGGAACAGAGAAACGGAGAACGTGAATGAGCGAGTGCAAGAGAGAAAGGTAGAATGAGCGTAAGCAGTGAAAGAAGGAAAGACCCTGCGAATGAGTAACTGAATGCGAGAGAAAGAGGATCGTACTTTAAGCGAATAACGGAGCGAGAGGAAAGAAGACAGAGTTTAGTGAGCATGTATAAGAGAGATAGCGAATGATGAGTTATACCAGGGTAAAGCGAGAAAGAGAATTCGCGCGCGCGTACACAGAACTCTATGCGTCCTTATCGGTTTCTTTCTTTCGCAGTCCTTATGCACCGCTTTAACGGTTTCTCGTGATTTTTCGATAATACCATTTCGTCGAAGGTTATGAGGTATTGGTTACGTAGATAACTTTGGGTGAGTCTTTTTTACGAGTACGATAGTTGCACGTAACTTAGTGTACTCGCCAGTGTGCATCCAATAACACGTATGTGTGATCGTGTTTTTCATTCGATTCGTTCTCACTCTTATGAACGTTTTTTTCCTATGAGTCCATACTCGGACTCGTGTGCGATGCGGACCTGTTTCCTTCTAGTCACCGTGTTGTACGAATCCTGTGATCGCCGTGAACCTTGCTGCGTTTAGTCACTCTATCTTACCGATCCTTACTCTTCGTTCAATCTCTTAAAACGAATCTTCGTATTATCATTTATAGAGCTCAAGTTCGATCAACGGTAACATTATTGCAAATCAACGCCGAGCTGCTCAATCTTTGAGACTAGCTCCGCGAACTAATTGGCTAATGTAATTAACAAGAGCTCCGCTTTAATGTGTTAAATGGTATACGCTATTATTTTCTTTTAGTTTTATCCACTGTACTTTTCATTTGTGAGTAGAAATCAATCATAATATAAAAGATAATGAAATTTTGCGTACTTGTTTGCACAGTAATCGGTATCTAGCTTTTATGACTTCGAGACTCGCCGAGCATCGTGTGTTTAAACTCGTTGATATGTGAATGACGCGATTTAATTCCAGTTTATTAATTTCACTGTATTATTTTGTATACTTTAGCAGGGTATCGACCTCTTGAAATCTTTGAATTCGGTGACACGTTAATCTGTGTTTCAAAACATCTTTCATTTCGTAAAAAGAATTAATAATTCTTTGCAAGACTTTGTAAAATTTGATTATGATTATGATTATGATTATGATTATGATTACAATGCATAAAAGTAGAATCCTCGTCTATCGAATGAAGTTTCAATATAAACAGACATTTATCTATCGATTTAAATGAAATATTTTGAATAAGGACCATTTATTACCTTATGCTTTAAAAACATAATATATTTCGTTGAAATTAATAACTATTTTGTATCTAGGTAATCATGGCTAATCGGGGTACAGCCCAGAGGCCAAATGGTTCGACGCAAGGAAAGATTTGCCAGTTCAAATTAGTATTGCTCGGAGAATCCGCGGTTGGTAAATCAAGCCTTGTGTTGAGGTTTGTGAAAGGACAGTTTCACGAGTACCAAGAGAGTACTATCGGAGGTAGGAAATCTTTTTATAAAATTTATACCATTATTTTAATAAATGGGCCAAGCTATTTCTTTGTTTCAAAGGAGATTAATATTTTCCAAATACACATTGCTGCACTGGCACAGTTGTTTCTTTTATTTAAATGTAACCTTAGACGCTGTCATAAATAATATATTAAATTATATAGAGAAATATATTAAAAAAGCATAGAATGTAATACTAAAATCTTAAAATATTTGCTGAAATTTTAAATATACAAGGAAATATCTCGTTACGCGTGGCACCAATTTTACACACGAAGAGTCGTATATTTACGTCCGAACGGTAAACCAATTAGATAGACATTTATGTAAAAATCATACTTAAGATAATAAAGGCTATTAGATAATAGAAAGATAGTTAGAGATTAGATAAAATACATTTCATTTAAGAAGCTTTTTATAATTTGGGAAAGCACATTCTAATTTGTCATAGATAGAATTACCTTGTACTACCATCGGAAGAATTATCTCTTGGACATCATTATTTGATTGTGTTAATGTTTTTAGCTGCATTTTTAACACAAACAGTATGTCTGGATGATACAACTGTAAAATTTGAGATTTGGGATACAGCAGGCCAAGAACGTTATCATAGTCTTGCGCCAATGTATTATCGAGGTGCACAGGCAGCCATTGTTGTGTATGACATAACAAACCAGGCAAGTAAAAATTATTAAAACAAAATATTTAACTTAATTATAAATGATATTTCCATACACGCCAAAGATTATAATGTAATCAAGGTAAATGATATTCTAAAGATAATAGCAGACCTATAATTATTTGTTTCGACTTTGTCTATATTTTGTAGCATTCTTTTAAGCTTAATTCTGGGTTTTCTATTTAGTAGGGTCTAAATATATCTCTACTTTATATCTTTCAAACGTTTCTAATTATTTATTTTATGCTAGTTGTATGGATTAATTTTTTAATTAAATATGTAGGACACATTTGTACGTGCCCAAACGTGGGTGAAGGAATTGCAACGACAAGCCAGTCCGAGCATAGTTATAGCATTAGCTGGAAATAAAGCAGACCTTTCAAATAAGAGAGTTGTAGAATTTGATGAAGCTCAAACATATGCAGATGAAAATGGCCTTCTTTTCATGGAAACTTCAGCCAAAACAGCGATGAATGTTAACGATATATTCCTAGCGATAGGTAAGTTAATTTTTCAATTTCTCTCTCTCTCTCTCTCTCTCTCTCTCTCTCTCTATTACATAAATGAAATTAATGATTCCGTTCGAAATAAAAACAATGCTGGAGAATGGTTTGGCAACATTTGCAATTATAATCATGATAATGTTATCTATGGAATATGAAAAGGGCATCTGGTTTTGAAATAGTATCCGTTATCGTACTAGAATTCATTTCTTACTATATTTTCATTCTTTTACGTAGTAATAACTATATGAATTTACAAATAAATTTCGTCGTACCAATTTTTTTTGCAGCTAAGAAACTTCCAAAAAATGAACAATCAGGAAGTGTAAGTACGAGTGGTCAAGGTCGTCGATTAGTTGAGACAGAAGGACAAAAGGCAGCAACTGGCAATTGTTGCAAGTGATTATCCAAATCTGTACGTGTTAAATACTGTATTGGTATATATTTTTATATTAGTTACAATTGGTCACCTTGGTGGTCAACAATACTGGAAGTAATATCTATTGAGCAGTCACAAACCAATCGATATATGCATCAGATATGTTATGGGTTCAATGTTTAGTATAATAATACATTATGTCTAGATATTTTTATAATGCAAAAATGTATAAGGAGAAAAGATTGATGGTTTTGCAGTGGAAACAGATTTGATATTAACTAGGTTAGAAATCTGCAATTTATGGGTTTTTGATGAGAAAATATGTATTAGATTGTGGAATTNAATATCTATTGAGCAGTCACAAACCAATCGATATATGCATCAGATATGTTATGGGTTCAATGTTTAGTATAATAATACATTATGTCTAGATATTTTTATAATGCAAAAATGTATAAGGAGAAAAGATTGATGGTTTTGCAGTGGAAACAGATTTGATATTAACTAGGTTAGAAATCTGCAATTTATGGGTTTTTGATGAGAAAATATGTATTAGATTGTGGAAT